GTGCTACATCATCTCTTGTGATGAAGAAACCTCCGGTAAGTGGATTTTGACTCTGGATGCTCTTACCATATGTGTCTAAATAGGAAGTGGTTTACTACCTATAGAAGCACTGATGGTGGAACCGTGTTGATGGGTAATAACTATTCATGTAAAACGGTGGGGCTCGGTTCAATTAGAATCAAGATGCATGATGGAGTGGATAGAATATTGATGGATGTTAGACATGTTCCTGATTTGCGGAAGAACCTTATCTCTGTTGGTGCTTTAAACTCCAGTGGTTGCAAGATTGTAACATAGAATGGAGTAAAGAAGTTGTTCGTGGCTCTTTGATTGTGATGAAGGGTATTCGTGAAGGCAATCTCTATGCTCTTCAGGGTACTACAGTTATAGAAGATGTAGCGGTTGGAACAAGTGGAAGTGGTGGAGACCCATGTGAGTGCACTCGGCTATGGCATAGGAGGCTTGGGCATATGTCTGAAAAGGGGCTAGATTTGCTAGTTAAGAAAGGTTTGCTAAAGAACTTGAAGAAGCCTTGCATGAATTTTTACGAGCACTGCGTGTACGATAAAGCACACGAAGTTCAGTTCCAGCCAAGCAAACATAGAAGCAGAGGCATTCTAGACTATGTGCACACGGATGTATGGAGTCCGACTTCTGTCACTTCCAAAGGCGGTTCCAGGTATTTTGTTACATTTGTTGATGATTATTCTAGATATGCTTGGATTTATTTTTTGAAGCATAAGAATGAGGTATTCGACACTTTCAAGAAGTGGAAAGCAATGGTTGAAACTAGAATAGGAAAGAAATTGAAGACACTGCGATCTGATAACGGTACTGAGTATACAGATGGTGCTTTCAAGGAGTTCTGTGGTAAGGAAGGCATTGTGAGACACTGGACAGTTAGAAATACACCGCAACAGAAAGGAGTCGCGGAAAGACTGAATCGCACATTTCGAGAGAAATCGATGTGTATGCGATCCTATGCTGGTTTGGGCAGAGAATGGTGGGCAGAGTCAGTTGCAAATGCTTGCTACATAGTGAACCGGTCTCCACATTCAAGGTTAGATGGAGATGTACCTTACAGGGTATTGACAGGAGAACATGCAGATTATGAGAAACTCAGAACATTCGAATGCACAGCTTACTATCATGTCAACGAGGGAAAGCTCGATGTGAGGGCCAAGAAGGCTATATTCTTGGGGTATGTGGCAGGTGTTAAAGGCTATCACCTTTGGTGTGTAGAGGATTCTAAGTTCATAATCAGCAAAGATGTTACTTTTGATGAGAATTCCATGATAGCTTCGTTGAAAGCTACAGTACCCGGTGGTGATGATGTTGAGACTACAATGTCTCAAGTTGTTGACATAGAACCTAGAGATCAACCTGATTCTAGGCATGTTCAAGAGGAGCATCATACAGACACTCAAGATGAGAGTGATGATGGGCTTGTACAAGAGGCGGTTCAGCAAGAGAATGTATAGGCACAGCAACAACAGCAGCTTGCAGATAACTTGGCTTCATCTAGGCCACGCCGTACTTACAAGCAAGTTCTAAAGTTGGGGTCAGACGAGCCTTTGAGGCACTATGGGCAGACAAATTTGGTTGAGTATGCACTCTCGATGGAGGATGATGAGCCTACCACTTTCAAGGAAGCTATTTTAAACAACAATAGTGAGAGTTGGTTTGCAGCAATGGAAGAAGAGATGGAATCACTTCACAAGAACCAAACATGGGAGGTTGTTCCATTGCCCATAAGTAAGAAAGCTATTGGTTGCAAGTGGTTGTACAAAAAGAAAGAGGATCCTACCAAGCTCGGTGGTACAAGATTCAAAGGGTTGAGGATAAGGAACGTCAGGTATGTCGCTTGAGAAAATCACTATATGGATTGAAGCAATCTCCTCGGCAGTGGTACAAGCGATTTGACTCCTTCATGCTAAAGCATGGTTTCTCCAGAAATGAGTATGACTGTTGTGTTTATATTTGAAAACTTCGGGGAGGTATCTATATCTATCTTCTTTTGTATGTGGATGACATGCTTATCGCTTCGAAAAGCAAGGTGGAGATAGATAGGCTGAAATCTCAACTTGGTAAAGAGTTTGAGATGAAGGATATGGGGGCTGCTAGGAAAATATTGGGTATGGAGATTAGAAGAGAGAGGACGAATCGGTGAATGTTCTTGAGTCAGAAAGGCTACATTGAGCGGGTTATTGCTAGGTTCGAGTTGCAAGGTGCAAAGTCGGTGGTGACTCCATTGGCTTCACATTTCAGGCTCTCTGGTAAACAGTCTCCTACTGCAGCGGAAGAAAAAGTACGCATGGATCGTGTACCTTATGCTAGTGCAGTTGGCAGTTTGATGTATGCCACGGTGTGTACACGCCCAGATATTTCACAGGCGGTTAGTGTGGTCAGTAGATTTATGGCGAATCCAGGAAAGGCACACTGGGAAGCTGTGAAGTGGATCCTGAGGTGGATACGGGTTTATGTTTTGGTGGAGATGCATGTCATATAAGTGGGTTTGTGGACTCGGATTATGCAGGTGGCCTAGATAGACGACGATCTACTACTGGATATGTGTTTTGCATACATGGTGCCCCAGTTAGTTGGCGATCGATGTTACAGGCTACAGTTGCTCTTTCTACTACAGAGGCCGAGTATATGGCCATGGCAGAGAGAGTGAAGGAAGCATTGTGGTTATGGGGTCTTCTAGATGATTTGGGGATTGAGCAGGATTGTGTGGACTTGTGGTGTGATAGCCAGAGTGCGATTCACTTGGCTAAGAATCAGGTTCATCATGCTCAAACCAAGCATATCGACGTTAGGTATCATTTTGTGCGTGATGTCATAGGGGAAGGTAATATTTCACTCTCGAAGGTACACACAAATGAGAACCCAGCTGACATGTTAACCAAAGTGGTAACGGGTAGCAAGTTTCAACATTGCTTGGACTTGCTTCACATTAGTCCGTGTTGATATGCCCGAGTGGGCATGGCCCTTCGGGGCGAGGTTGAAATGAGGTGAAGAGTATATGAAGGTGGAGGTGAACTACGGAGGCTTGATCCCAAGTTTTGGGTACGTAGGCAACCATGGTTTGAATGGTGCAGCCGAGTTTTGGTGCTTGCTACTTCTTCTTGTGTTCGTCCAAAATTTGAGGTCTATCAAATGATGTACGAAGTGGAGAATTGTGAGAAGAGAAGCTTAGAAGAAGCAGCGCCTAGGCGCTGGAGTGGGCACCTAGGCACTGCCCAATTTCTGCCAAAGCAGAAACTGGGCGCCCAGGTGCCATGTGTGGGTGCCTGGGCACCCACCAGTACCCAAATTGATCAGTAAGTTGGCACCTAGGTGCCCCGGTACATATATATATTTTCGATTTTTTGCCTCTTCATCATGCACAAGACCTAGAGCCCGTTTTTAGAGAGAAAAAAAAAGGGTGAAAGCTTGGATAGAATTTTACAAGATTGAGGTTAATCCAAATACATTGTTCTCCATTTATCCATTGAAATCATTTCTTCCCCACTTTCTTGTTCTTGAAGTGGTTTGGATTTTTTTCACATTGTCAAACTTTGTTTGATCTTGGGCAATCTTTGGGAGGTGTTTTCCCAACACGGATCATGGCCTTCTGAGGGCATCTTTTTGTTTTTTTTTCCGCAACCAAAAAAATAATAATAATAATAAAATAAAATACCTGTTGGGCCTGGACCCTGGGGGCCTGGCGGGGACTGCTGCGTGGCTTAGTCTAGCTTGTCGATATCCCCACCTGCCATTGATCAAGCATCCCAGATTCTGTAATGGTCTGTTTAAATGGGATCTTCGATCTCACTCTTGCAAACTTACTTTTTAGCATAATATTGTAAAAGGTCTGATCTTTCTATCTGAGTACTTTGTATGAAGAGAGTTAGCTCCTCCCTGACTAAATTTTACCATTTCTATGCAGTAGCTAATTAGCATTTATATATCAGCACGATGATTGCTTTTCCTATTTCAATCAACAGGTGCTTATACTTGTTTAGTTTAATGTTCTATATTGTTTTTTGGTACAGTTTTTGTTTATATATGCAATCAGGAAAACATCCCTTAAATAAAGTTTGAAATATTAAATTAATCATGTAGATTCTTAGCATCTGAAGCTTTTGGTAAGAAACTAATGTGAAGAATACTACTTATCGTTTTGGATGATGATAAACTATTTCAGAAAGTTAGAAACTTTCGTAATCCCTCCGCAATACTGTTTTGGTCCTCATTCTAGTTTTATCAATACGTATCTATTTCCTTTATATTACTTATCTACTTCTTTGGTTTGCTAGGAATTGCATGTCAAGTCAAGAAGCAGTTGACTTTGTAGAGAAACATTTTGACTTCGGTAAGTCATTTAGGCTTCTTGTTAAACAATTTCGATAGATTTGATCATGGAATTGAAACCCGCTGTCATCATTGATAACAATATAATGAATCTTAAACCAATATATTGAATCAATTCAAAAAGAAGAAAAGAGGAGGAGGAGAAGAAGAAGAAGAATAAAGAGAGAACCAAAATCTATTGAGCCATTGGAATTATGTTTTCAAATAAAGTAAAAACAGTTTTGATACTATACAAGGAAACCTAAAAATAATAGGAAACTTAAAATAATAGGAAATTACATATTATGCTAAAATAAATAACTAAAATAGCTAACACAAGTTTTCATCCCCCCTCAAACTCAAGATGCTAATGCAAGAAGCAGCGAGAGTTTGTCACGCAGAAAACGAAAACGATGAACCGGATGAGACTTAGTGAAGAAGTCAGCAAGCTGCAACGATGAAGAAACAAAAGGTGGGGAAATGGTGCCAGTCTACAGATGATGACGAACCAGATGACAATCAATCTCAATATGCATGGAACACAGAGTTGTGAGAGATCTGAATGGCACTAGTATTATCACAATACATGGGAGTTGGGGAGGAATGAGAAACACCCATGTCTGCAAGTAACCATCGCAACCACACAATCTCAGTGGTGGTGGATGTCATAGCTCGATATTCTGCTTCTGTAGAGGAGCGGGAAACAACAGTCTGCTTCTTACTTTTCCAAGAGATAAGTGAATCACCCAAAAATACACAAAACCCGTAGTGGACTTGCGATCAATGGGGTCGCTGGCCCAATCAGCATCAGAGCAGGCATGGAGCACTAAGGATGAGGTCGATGGAAACAAAAGACTCTGAAAGCATGTACCATGAAGATAACGCAAAATACGAACAACTGCTGCCCAATGAACTGTAGTAGGAGCTGAAACAAATTGACTAACAATGTGAATAGCATAAGCAATATCAGGACGTGTGATGGTAAGATAAACTAGACATCCAACAATAGTGCGATACAAAGTGGGATCAGTCAATAGTACACCATCAGAGGATGAATATCGAGCATTGGACTCAAGAGGAGTATCAGCAGATTTATTATCAGTAAGACGAGCACACTCAATGACATCCATAGTATACTTGGACTGAGAGATAAGATAACCTCTAGGAGAATAAGCAACTTCGATCCCCAAAAAAATAAGACAATGTGCCCAAGTCCTTCATTTCAAAACGACAAGCCAATTCTGATTTCAAACTTGCAATTCCATCAACATCATCACCAATAATAATCATATCGTCAACATATAGCAATAATAGAATGCGACCAGCTGAAGTGCATGTAAAGAATAAAGCGGACTCATGATGACTGGATGTAAAACCAAGAGAGCTAACAACAGTGGAAAATTTCTCAAACCAGGCACGAGGTGCTTGTTTGAGGCCATAAAGTGCCTTCTTGAGTTTGCAAACAAATCCAGGAGAGTGAGAAAGGCAAGGAGGAGGAACCATATAAACCTCCTCTTGAGGATTTCCATTTAAAAAGGCATTTTTGACATCCAATTGAGAGAGACTCCATTGACGAACAGATGCAACTACAATAAGTGTACAAACAGTGGTCATCTTGGAAACAGGAGCAAAAGTCTCTTCATAATCCAAACCATACTGTTGATTAAAACCTTTAGCAACCAATCTAGCCTTGTAGCGTTCAATCGAACCGTCAGATTTGGTTTTAATCTTATAAACCCAACGATAACTGATAGTATATTTACCTGAAGGCAATTCAACCAAGTCCCAAATGTTTGTCTTATGTAGAGCAGAAAGTTCATCAGCCATAACTTGTTGCCAAAGAGGATCCAAAATAGCTTCTTTATAGGAAGATAGTTCAACTAACTTATGAATGGATGCTAGAAAATAGCAAAAGGACTCGGAATAACAAGAATAATCAAAATCAGGTAACTGAGTGGACTTACGAATACATTGAGGATAACGAGGAAGAGATGAAGCAGGAGTTGGATCAACAATCTCAGGCGTGGGAAAGGCCATAGACAAAGAGGATCATATGTTCTGGACAATCTAAGATCACCACACGTTGCAGCCTCTGGTGTTGATTTGTCATCTTTTTCTTTGAATTCATCATCTTCTAGTTTTCATTTGTGGCATTCTCGCCTTAGACACGTTTTCGCTAGTCGTTTAAAATTTTTAGTTTCTAAGGGTCAATTGGGAAATATACAAACTCATGATATTTCTGATTGTAGAGGTTGCAAATTAGCAAAATTTTCTGCTTTACCTTTTCCTCGAAGTATTTCTCATTCTGTTGCACCATTTGATCTGTTCACTCTGATGTGTGGGGACCTGCTCTAGTTACTACAAAAGGAGGGTCTCGATATTATGTATTCTTTATTGATGATTATATTCGTTATTGTTGGGTTTATCTTATGAAGCGACGATCTGACTTTCTTTCTATTTATCGATCATTTAGAGCACTTATTAAAACTCAACATTCAACTGTAATTAAATGCTTTAGATGTGACTTGGGTGGAGAGTATACTTCATCCGAATTCTCTAAATTGCTTGCTCTTGACGGCACAATTCATCAAACCTCTTGTACTAATACCCCACAACAAAATGGTATTGCTGAACGAAAGCATAGGCATATTGTGGAAACTGCTCGTTCACTTCTTTTATCTACCAAAGTTCCCAGTGAGTTTTGGGGAGAAGCAGCTCTTATTGTTGTTTCTTTAATTAATAAGATTCCATCTTCCCACAATTTAGGTTTATCACCCTTTGAAACATTGTATGGGCATCCTTCAGATTACTCCTCATTGAGAGTCTTTGGTTGTACTTGCTTTGTTCTTCGTCCTAAAGTTGAACGTAATAAGTTGACATTTCGCCCTATTATTTGTGTTTTCTTGGGTTATGGGCAAGGGCAAAAGGGTTATCGTTGTTTCGATCCCATTAATAATAAATTATATGTCTCTCGTTATGTCGTGTTTCTTGAGCACATTCCATTCTTCTCCATTTCTGATAATACTCATAACGTGACCAAAATTGACCTCATTTATATTGATCCATTCTCTGATGATATAAACAATTCACCTTCCCATACCCCATGTACTATTGATTCTTCATGTCCTGCAGGTACACATGCTTCAGATCATGCTACCCCTCCTTCTTCTATGGCTTCCCAAGCACCACCTGAGATTGAGGATCCTGCACATGACAACCAGTAGAAGAAAACTGAACTAAGTATCCAGAATCACACAATTGACCAATAGAGATAAGATTCAAAGTAAGAGTTGGAACACAATAGACATCTGACAGTGACAAATTATGTGTATTAACTGAACCAACACCTGCTAAAGGTAATGGTGTACCATCAGCAGTGATAACAGACATAGATGGGTAGGAAGGACGCAAGTCATTAAAGAATTTTGAATTAGACGACATGTGTTTGGAAGCATCTGAGTCAAAGATCCATGAGGAAGAAATACCTGAGTGACTCTGTGATAACAAACTTGATAACAAACCTATATGAGTGGAGGCTGACATAGCATGTGGTTGTGTGGCTAAGAATTTCTGAAACTGCTCTGCTAAGTCCGTCAACATGGGATTGGATGAAGGTGGTGCTCCAAGTATGGATGAATCATTAGGTGGCATGGTGACAGCTATATTAGCACTAGGACGATAAGATTGCTGTTGTGATTGAGGTTGCTACTTTTTCAATAGCTTTGGACATTGAGACTTCCAATGTCCTTTTTGTTTACAAAAGTTACACTCATCGGTAGCAACTCGCACATAACCTTTATTCTGGTTCTGTGTGGACAGTCAAGAAGGTACAGCCAACACTGAGGTGCTAGATGGAGGAAGAGATACTTCTCCCGCAAGAGATTTCAAACGTATTTCTTCAGCTACAAGTTCACTAACCACCGAATCAACTGAAGGAAGTCGAGTGCGATGCAAAATAGAGCCTCTGAGTCCCTCAAAATCACTGCGAAATGCCATCAAAAACTGAACTAATCGCTGCTTCTCTCTAAAAGTAATATATTCCTCACATGCTTTCAGTCCCACTGATTCCGTAAGAACCAGCTCATCCCAGATGGAGTTCATAGTAGCGTAGAACTCAAGAATACTCATATCTTTCTGATGTAAAGCCCGTATATCAATTTCCAACTGATACCGTTTTGCAAAGTTAGATTTAGTGTATAACGTTTGAAAATGCTCCCAACCTTCTTTTGCTGTTTCAAACTTCATTGATTGTGTACCACTGGATTGCTCAACAAAATTGTGAATCCAAGTGAGAATTTTCGCGTTGTTTGACTCCCAATTATCTAACTCTGTTACATAATTCTGAGCAGTGTTCTCGGGTTTCACAATAGTTCCGCTAACATAGCCCCATAATTTTTTTCCCTTTAAAAAATTTCTCATCACTATACTCCAATACGAGTAAATTTTACCATTTAGTCTGACACTAATGGATTGAAGTGAATCATCTCTTTCAGTTGCCATCATAAAGTCAATAAATAACCAACTATGAATCAACGAAATTATCCAATTTTTTAAGGAAACCAACGATAACCAACGTACTTTCACAAACTATAGTTGAAATATATTGCACAGTATACGTATAACCAAAGTAATACCACCAAAAGATCAGAAATTTACCAAGGAACAAACTGCCTTTTGGAATCACCTCGAAAAAACGACGCACGCGCCCTCACGCACCACTACCGTCTCTGCGCGTGGTCCTCACTCGCCACAAATCACGCTCCCCCTAACACCGACACGCGCTTGATCGGACGTTTCGTCTCAACCTGCTGAACAAGGATCTGGCCTCCGTTTTCTTAATGGATCTCCAGTTTCGTCGGAATCTTGATTTTAAGTTGCGGTCGAATAGGTTCTTCATAAAAGCTTTCTTTGCCTGATTTCTAACTTGATTTCAGCACGACCCAAACAGAAATTTCACAAATTTCACTCAAACGATGATGACCCATTAATATAAATATAAGGTTTGAAATTTTTTTGGCCCTAATTTTTCCATATTCTTGTGCCTCTTCGTGAGTCTTGGGTGGAGCCTTCTGGGTTCTTCTTCTCTTCATGACTTTGTCTCTACCTTTTCTTCTTCTTGGTGAAACTCTTCCATTAATCAAAAAATCCTTGGTTTTCTGAAGGTTCTGAGTGAGTAGAATCTTGGTAATTCTTCGGTCTTGAGTTGTGAAGAGTTCTCTGTTGGTTTTTTGGAGAGTCTCTCATTCTATTAAAGCGATTGCGTTTGGGTTTGGGGATTTGGGGCTGCGTTTTGTGAGTCTAATCCTTTGTACAGAAGGGTACAAGGTATAATCTGAGCCCAATTGATGAGAACTTGATGCTTTAGTGTGAAATCTTGGTTCTGTTATTTTCAGTTGATTTGGGACATTATTGTAACAGTGGTATCAGAGCTTGGAGAGTCCGGTCGAGTTCCCATCTCTGTTTTCTAGTCTTAGAAAATTAATTTTTTACGACCAGATCTTGAGAGATCCAAAATTTTGCTGAAACCCTAGATTTAATAGTCTACGGGTTCTTTGATTTCGTTTTTGAGTTTATTTTAGTTTCTTGATAACTAACCTATGTTGTTGGTGTTACTTTAGAAATAAGATGATTCTTCTCAAACTTTTCTTGATGAACCGATTTTGAGAATTTGGGGTTCACTCGTGATTTTGCAATCTGTCAGTCGATTTCTTTTAACCCTCTTGTAGTATATGTTATTTTAGTTATGTGTTCTTGAATTTGGTGAATCTTGTAAATATGTTTCCCATTTTTTCAAGTATACTGCATGCTATTGATCTTGGTGATTAATTCATGATCTGTGTATCTATCTATTGATTAATCTGTGTGATTAATTTTTGATTTTCTATCGTTCTTTCTTTTTTCCTGTAAAGTCTTGGTGATTGTATACTAAATCTGCCTTTAATATTGTACACTTTGCACTGCACTATTGTGGACTTGGGTTGAGCCTTAACCTGAGGTCTTTGAGTTTGACGAAATCCTGGTGAACTCAAGACACATCACTGCATTCTTAAGTGATTTATTATTCTCTGATTGGTTACTATTTTGTTATTATTCACTGTGTTATACTTCCCTGCGATTTCATATAGTGTGT